GTAGTCGTGTATATTATAATTATTTTGAGTTGCATTATAACAGTGTGTTAATTATCTCAAATTTCTGAAAGATTAACGAAATACAAAATCAATTGCAAGACTGAGCAGGAAAATATATACTAGAAAAACTGCATAGTCATATTTCTACAGATATTCTATTGATAGAGGATAGTCGTTGTGTTTACAAGCCAAGATGTCTCAAAACCGCCAAACTCACTGGTTTGACTGGAATCATGCTGCTGCACAATTTTAACGTGTTTTTAGATTGGGTTATGGTCGAGAATAAGCTTTATGTGGCCTCTCTGGACTCCCATATATTTGCACTAAGTTAAGTCGGGCACCATTTGCAGTCATCAGCCGACATTGGAAGCAAAACAAATCAGGTAAAAAAAAAAAAAAAAGCCGCGTCGCCGCACCACTTTTGGGCAAGCTCCATACCAGAAACCGGAGACTTTTTTTGGCCTTATGGCCCTACGGATTGTTCAATCTAGTCTGGTGACCATGTCATTATAAGTTTAATCATAGAGAAAGATCAACGAACGCGAGTATGAATTCACTGTACCAGCTCTCTGAGTAAGCCCAAGCCCAAGGGCAAACAAGTTGATTCCTCGCGAAAGAATGAAAACGTTTTCGCTCTAGCAGTTGTATATAGCACGGCCGGGGTTATTATTTTATGTGCAGCCCAGTCCATCTGACCCCAGGTGACACCTAATCGTCAATTCATCAAAGTTTGAATCAAAATGCATCTTAAGAAATCAAGCATACAGTTGCTTTGTGCTCAATTCCAATACTAGGCTGAACTTTGAGCAAGCTTTTCTGCAGGGTGATGTAAAGTCAATATTACAGTTTTTTTCAATCGCTTTCACACGGTAACTACAACAGTATGCATATTCGCCAAACAAATAACACGGGTCCCGAAACACTTTGTATGCATAACTAAACTTGAGATATCGATGCCAAAATGAAAAATTGCTTTCAAATCTCATGAAACATGTAACAAAAGCTCACACTCACGTCAAATCACACAGGAATTATCAACATATGACTAAGGCACATTGTCGAACAAGACTAAGGTACATTGTCGTGATTTTCCCCCCACGACGACCCGGTACGTCGACAGTAGCTCGTTGTCCAATGACATTTCGACCTCGCTGTCTTCTCTTGGCCAGGTTGAAGCCGGCTTCATCTACATAGATGTATTCATGACGTCCCTCTCTGGTATCCAGATCTAGTATTCTCTGAAACGAAAGAAATGACATGCAACGAAGTTTTAATTACATGCAAACGTAATACATGTAGCTTGGATAAGGTTAGTAAGGTTCGACTGCAGTTGTCTAATTTACGATAAGCGACTTACTTGAACGTATTCGTAGCGCATTTCTGTCACCCTGATGCTGTTTCTCACATATGGCACTCTGGTAACTTGCTTCATTCGTATTCGGTGTCTCTTCAAGATACGTCCGAAAGTAGTCAAACTGACACTTGGAATGTCTGCAAATGTGTCGTTGTCCTCAACAACCCTTGTTTGGATTTCTTTCAGGCGGATTACGTTGTTTTCCAAAACCATATTCACAATTGCATGCTCTTGTTGTTCGGAGAAGAGGCGTCGTCTGCCGCCAGAATGTGGTCTTCTCTCAGATCGGTAAATAAATGAATGAAGCATACAACGTGAGAATCCAACTGCATGTAAACGACATAAACAACAAGGTTTTCGCCATTTGAGTAATTTTCATTGATGGCGATGTACGTTTACTTTCATTTACGTATCACATTTTCACAGTTCAATCAGTGCCTCACTCTTGCTTACCGATTCTCATTTCTAAATATTCGTATGACCGAAGCAACTGTAGATTTGGGGGTGTTGGGTTGCACTCGCTGTCCGGTGTGGACGGTAATTCTGTCCCCCGGTAAAAGTGTCCGGGGGGACAGAATTACCTAGGTAAAAGTGTCCCCCCTGTCCCGTTAATTCTGTCCCCCTCCAGGTAATTCTGTCCCCTCCAGTTAATTCTGCCCCCCCCCCTGGTTTGCACGCATAAGTTGTTATATTGATGTTATTATAATGAATTCAGCGCACAGGTATACATTTTTAGATTTTTCCACCCTTCATCAATGATTATCAAAATGAAATAAACGTTTAGATGTTAATCAACCGATCTATGTTTCTGCAAGAAAGCAGAAAAGGCACGCGTAGTAATACTCAACCTATACGGCTAGCGCGCACGCCCTCCGTAGGATTCGGCGGACAGTTGAGCACGTTACAGTGCACGTTACATGAGCACGATACATGCTGATGTGATGTGTCCTCTTTCCTCGGGCTGTATTGCCAAGCCTATTAATAACGCAGTGAGGGGCATCCAAGAATGTGTTATGTAACACTTCCCGCATGGTCTTGCAAGCATTCTGATTTGTGTTCCCAGCGTCATGCATGTGTGTGTGTGTGTTCATGGAGGAATAATTAAGAACGAACTCCTTGGTCCGTGTTCCTTGCTCGTTCGAGTTCCATTTTGTCTTTATTTTTGCAACCATGCGGCTTAAAATAAATGTGTATTTCAAGTCTTTTTTGCCCACCATACAAATCGCTCGCTCCCGAAGTCGTCATCAAAACGGGAGTTGTGCTTTGACGTAAGCACCATTCCCGAATTTAGCAAGGCGCCGCGCAAAAACAGTTAATAACTTTACTAATATACAGTCTGGGTGCTAGACTTGTGACGTTGCACGGGGACACATTTACCAGGGGGGACACATTTAACGTCGTGCAGGGGGACAGATTTACCTAGAGGGGGGCAGGTTTACCTAGGTAAAAGTGTCCCCCCGGACAGATTTACCGGGTCACGACCCGGTAAATCTGTCCGGGGGGACACATTTACCAGGGGGGACAGAATTACCTGCCACACCGGCTTCTCTCAATGTCAGCCCATGACGCATCTCGTTCGACAGATTGGGTGCATGTCGTCCTCCTCTCCCCCTTCCTTGCCGCCCTCTAACCCGGCCTCTTGCTGCTCTACCACGGCCATGTTGTTCTTGCTGCTCCTCCATATCAAACACTTTATCTTTTGACATAAGAGTGGGTTCACTCGCAGTCCTTTATATACCACAAATTGCTTGTGATAAATGAACGACTTCTTGAGTCGTTTACGTTCACACGTGTGTTATTTGAGTAATTCCAGTGGAAAGTTACATCTTTCAAGTTGAACATGAGAAAAATGCATTCAAATGAAATCCGAGTTAAACGTGCATTACTAACGTTTAATGGAATGCAACACGTTCTTTGTGTGTTTAATTTTGTACGAAAACATTAAGAAAATATTTTAAGTTCCGGACAAGTGCGGTTTCACTTCTGCTCATTGTCACCTTTGTTGCAGTTACCATGTGAAAGCGATTGAAAAAAACTGTATTTTAAAGGTTTTGCCATTCACCGACGTGTAGGTTTTATTCAATGGGCTTATAGTGGTATTGTGTACCGCATTTTTGTAGGTAGTGCAGCATCGTTTTAGGCCTACTGCTATTATTTACTGTATATATTAGAGCGTGGAATCGTAAGAAATGCACGTATTTGATGTGTATTCCCTGGAGTCGAGTGCAAGAACCAGGCCCATTTTAGATAACCCACAAAAAGTCGGGGTGATAAATTTAATTGATGGGTCAATGAAATGCTGCATTCGATTCGTATCCCAACTTTCTGTGCCCAGAGTTTCGACCGAACGAATTCAGATCGTCAGACGGAAAAATCCATTCAATCTTACCATGCGTAGGCCGCGCCTACTCATTTCTTATTGCCAAGTAAGGCCCTCGCTAAGCCTCCCAACACGGGATTAATGTACATTAGGAATTAACGGCTTGTTGTAAAACCACAGTGGATCAAGCCAATTTCAAAAAACAAATGAGTGCATCTTCAATATAGGTTTTCCCGGCCAAGTTAGCAGATTTGGCGGCCAAATTGGCGACGAATCACCCATTTGCGCACGAATTTGAATGCACGTTGAGATCAACATTCAATTACCTAAAAACACCAATCAATTTCACATTAGAAGCATGCGATTTCACATTTTGATCATGCAATTACAAAAATAGGGCATTCAAATTAAAATTGCATAAACAAGCATCCAAATTAGCCGGAGCTTCAAGCTGTGTAAGTTTTGGCGTTCGAATTAGCCATTAAGCAAGCATTATGTGAAAAGTAAGCAAAGTAAAGAAATAGGTCCATGTCGTTCCGTTGTTTGTTATAATAAGATGGAGTGTTTTTGTTACAATTTGGAAGTATATATATAGAAATAAAAACCTGTCTCCCACAAGACTCTGCCACTACTCTGATCACCATGCAAACTGTTAGAATGACGCTAACATCAATATGCCAGCTCATGGGCGTTACATGAAAATTTTAAATGTAGGCCGTGGTCATTTGATTGAAGCTTTCGATGGCAATACCCAAGACAATCTTTAACTTGCAGACAATCTTGGCATAAACATATGTAGCCTACTGCTGCAGGTCAATTGTAGCCGCGTATCTGGCAGACGGGAAAACCTGCCAAGAGGAGGGGTCAGAAACACAAAAATGGACGACGACATGAAGCAGAAATAATCAAAAGGTGAAAGAAATGAAACGACTCGCATCGTATATATACCTTCGTCTACTTTCATTGTGAATGCAAAAAGTGCTAAATAGAATGCACGGAAATGAAAACGAAAACAAGAATCTCATGCAAATAACCCTGAACCAAACCGACTGCTAAATTGAATGATCACTTAAAACGAATGACATAACTTCAATTTAGGATGTGTTTAACATGAAAATGTCAGGTCTTAAAACGAATTTGAACGCCTGGAATCTAATACGAACCACGGGAATGACAGCAGTGCAGGGAAAACCTATATTAAATTAGTTTTCTAACTAAACTTCATCAAGATTGGTCTTTTCAACATAAGGGGAGAGCTCATCGAGACGTGTTGGCTCGTCTATTGAAATATTTCTACAGTTTTACTTTTATCTCCGTAGAGATGACGTCAAAAATGGCCGTTGGAGAACCTAAACAACAGCTGGCTTGCATTGAGGAAGATGCTCCGGAGTGCAGATATTTCTCTTTCAGTCCCCCTTGTCTTCAACGCTTCGCACGGCCGGCCTTCTTCGTTTTCATTGGCTGCATGTTTTTCTTCATGGATGGTTTTGTGGTCGGGATGTTCCAGGGGGTGTTGACAACCATTGAGCATCGCTACCAGTTAAACGTCACTCAGCTGAGCATGATAGTTGGAGCCTACTGTATAGGCGGCGTCATTGGAATCACGTGTCTGATCTTATTCCTCAGTAGGCCAGATACCAATCGAGCACGTGTGATGGGAATCTGCTGCTTGTTGAACGGTCTTGCGATTTGTTCACAAACTATTCCACAGTTTATCCAAAGTCCTTACGTTCCTGGAGGTTTTGAGACCAGCAACAACTCGGCAAACGCGTATCAGGAGGTAGAGATGGTGTGCAGAGGAGAGCAGGTGGATGAGAAGCTCTGCACTGAGGATCAGGTGGCTGAGAACGTGTCTCCCAATCAGGTTGCTTTCTATGTACTCTTTTTTGGCTCAATGCTTGAAGGTGTATTTTTTACGATCGTGTTTACCTTAGTGGAAACATACATCGCAGATTCTACAACTCCAGGAAAAACCGCATTTTATATGGGTATGTTTTGAATTTCATGAATATACATCTATCATTGAATTTCACGAAAATAAGTTCTTATTTATCCCACGAGCTAGAGTGGAATCGACAGATAGTGACCGTGCTATTTGGTGTAATATCACACTGTTGTTGCCATGGATCGACCAATCAGGTTTAGGATTAAATTTGGCTTAAAGATGAAAAAAAAATATAGCGTGAGATCTATGAGGCTATGCAGCACGACATCTTGATAATGAATTGGATTAAAATCACTGGTTTTTGTTTCACAAGATTATCTCGGTAATTCTTTTTTTTCACCAGGTATCTTGGGTGCTGTTGGTGGCTTATCCCCTGTGGCAGGCATCTTTGTGACTGCAGCATTCCTTGGTCTGTGGGTTGATTTCTACAGAGTCCCCTCCTCAGCTGTCCCCGTGTCACCCAATGACCATGAGTGGGTGGGAGCTTGGTGGCTAGGGTTCGCCATGTCTGCGTTATTGAGTCTGTTACCAGTGGTGCCTTTCTTTGGATTTCCCAGCGTGATGAGAAACTCACAAGGCACAGAAGCTGTCAATGGAGATGGTTACCAGCAAATCCAGAAAGTGGTACAAGCTTCCAAACGGGATACTTTCAAAGGTAATGATGATAATGTGATACATTGGTTTCTTTACCAAAACTAGATTGTGGAGAAACGCATTTCACCTACGGTGTTTCTATTCAGATTTTTGAGATAATTGTCCTTATTTACACGTTTCTTTTCAACTACTCCCTTTTTGAATTTTTGCACCGTTAGAAATAATAGAATTTGCCATGAAAGTGCTTACTTTGTTTGTATTCGTATGTCTTTATATGTTTCATTCAATAGATAGTTTGGTGACGTTTTGGAGGGTGTTGAAAAACCGTGACTGTATGCTGACGTGCCTCTCTCAAGCGTGCGCTATCCTCATTCTGTATGGATATGGAACCTTCGTTCCTAAGTACCTGGAAGTTCAGTTTGAGATGGCAACCCAACTAGCCGACATTCTAACGGGTAAATGGGCAAGATTTCATCTTTTCTTTGAGACGCTTGCCTTTAGACGATTTATTTTCTTAAGGCTATGAACGATCCAAAAGCCATTATCTGATAGGCGCATGGCATTTTGTTGAAAGCAGTTTTATAAAGTAAAGAAAAGTACCATCTGAGTACCATTAAAGTATTAAAAATAAGCATAGAAAGTAGACTTATTACTGTTGGTATATTCTGATCCAACGGTGTTTTCTACTCAGGCTGACAGGAGTAGAGGAGATAATATAAGAAAAGCTCACTCGTAGCATTAAAAGGACTTTGAAGGGATAATCTTATACCGTGTAGCTTTCAACCAACAGGTTGTCTACTAGCCCCTGCATACGCCATCGGCTACGTTCTGGCTGGATCCCTCGTCAAACGATTCAACATTCAATACCAAGGCCTAGTCTCCCTCTCGTGCGTCGCACTGGCCCTCGGCGTCATTGGCTTCACAGTGATTTTGTTCAGTGGTTGCCAAAATGAAAACCTTGCCGGTGTCTTCACGCCCTACGTCGGACAAAGGTACGTTAGAGGTTAAAGCGTAAACAGAGTAGGCCTATAGTGGGAAAAAATATAGATAAAACTCAAAATCAGTCATGTTTTTGAAACGTAAACCAGTTGTAAAAGAAATGCAATTAGAAATTAATGGTTATTAAATGGTTTCAATAATATCTAACTATAACGCTACTAATCAGCTTTTCATTAAACCTCAATACTTACACTGTGGATGACTGAACACGCATGACTGAGCACAAACATATCGAGTTGGTGTAATTTAGTGGTGAGTTCAGCGTTCCTAAAAATGCGCTGTTGCTAGTGATTTTGCGCCAGGTTTTAAACACCTCTTGGCATTTGGTATGCCGTAGCTATACTGTGATGAGAGATGGATAAAATTTATAGAATCATTTCTTTACTATTTAAAGGTATAGTCCATCATTTATAATTTGTGCATTTTGTTCGTTTGAAGCAAACAAGTGTTAAAAATCTTAAGAAGGGTGCTAACCTGATGAAGTATCAGCTCAGCTTCAGCTGTATATTTTGACATAAACAGCATTATAGGATCTCGATATTTAAAAGTTGCTGAATCATGTATTGATTTGGGCCTGAATTCAGCGTTCGAGACACGTTCTCACTGAGCCGATTGCAGCTACGCGATGTCGCGCACCGATCCGACGAATTATAGCCATAGTTATATAACCGACATACAGATTCTTGTCATTTGATTGGTGGAACTCACATCACATCGTTATTGCTCCCATTTACGCCGCGGCTCAAAAAGTACTATCCGCCCATGGGGAATGGGAAATATTATAACACCTCACCCACAAATTCTGTGTCTTGATTGGCCGAGAGCGAGTCACCTGTTACTTTCTAATTTTGCTATCTTTCTGTGCACGGCCAAAAGTACTATGCGCATAGCAACCAAAGTACTATACCATTAGCAACCAAAGTACTATTTCCACGGCGCGGTATTTGTGTGCAAATGCATGCTGGTGTGCGCGTTGCGCGTTGTGAGTGGCGCGTATTATTCCAAAGAGAGCGCGCCGCAGACTTGGGTTCAAACATTTCGTGAAGGGTTAGTTTTTAAGAGAGAAATACATTTTCCACCAATTTTGTATTGAAATTGAAGTTTACTTCAACTGTGTTCAGATTTAAATAATGTAAAATATTAAAATCAAGCAGAATCTGTGGGTGAAGTGTTATAAAACAAATATTGAATGCTTTATCTCGTGGTGAAGTAAAACTAGCCTCCCTCGGTGATCCATGGACCATTCTATTTTCCCTCGGCTTCGCCTCGGGAAAATAGAATGGTCCATGAATCACCTCGGGAGGCTAGTTTTACTACACCACTCGAAGCATTCAATATTTGTATACTATATCTATGATCATAGCAGCCGCGCGCGTGTGTGCGTCGTGCCAACGCTTGAGCGCGCTTCGCCGAATAAAAAAAACGAACTACAAACGGAAATTTCTTCAAATTGACAGCTTGAGGGAGAGAATAATTTCACAGGGAGTTTATTTCCCTTACTATATTTCAACCAAGCATGTTTTTCAACAATAATTACGTCATTTACTTTTTGGATAATTGCAAATGATGGACTAAGCTTTAACGATACCATTATTCAGTGGCGAAAGTCGCCTCTCAGCCCACAAAAACCATCCTATAGTAACTGGTCAAAGGTGGCTTCCCAATTTTGTTCTGAGACGAATGGTCTTCATCACTGAGTCTTTAGTGATTTCAGAGATGCAGCTTAAGCGTTTCTGGAAAACTTTTGTCCAAAGAAGCATACAGCCGTGTTAGTCTGCTAGATACAGGTATAGTGGTAGCACTTGGACTATAAAATTGCACTTTTGGCATACTTTTTCGTAGCTACAGTTACTTCATCAGATGCAATGAATAGATACAACCCTCACCGAATTCAAATAAGGAAAAAACAAACTATGTTTCCAACATGTTTGTTTCTAAAACAGTTCCATTTTTTAAAAACATTTGGGTAAATGCCTTTACATGTTTAGAGTAGATCATTTGCAGCTATAAAAATAAACAAACATTATTCATTAGTGTTGAAAAGCTGACTTGGTTTAAAAATAGTAATGGCACTCAAATCCCCGTGAAAATATTTTTTATGGCATGCTGTCATTTTGAAGAAAACAATAAAGGAAGGTAGTTTCCAAAGATTTATCTAAATAAGCATTTTTTTTTGAAATTTCCATTTGTAGTTCGTTTTTAATTCGGCGAAGCTGTGAATGGGTGCGCGCAAGCGTTGACACGACGCACACGCGCGGGCGATTCCATAGATATAGAATAACCATTTTTATTCGATATCTATGTATAATTCCTTGGTACCGAGCGTGACACCGCGTATTAACGTGTCCCAGACGCTGACTTGGGCGCAGTTCATAGGCAACGTAGGCAACTCATAAGAATTCTATAAGAAAATATAGAGCCTTGTTTTTTTTTCTGAGTAGGCCTACAACATTCACTGAGCTAAAACTTCAACAGGTTAGTTGTTAAACACCAAGTTTTGAGCACTTTTGTTGCTTCAAAAAAAAAATGCACAATTCACGATGTATTATTCTACAGATAGAACCACTCGTTGGCAATGTTAAAGTTTATGAAGTTATCATACCTCATTCGTGTAATTGTATGAATGCGTGTGGTGCCAACAAATTATTGTTTGAATGTAAAATCTTATTCAACGAGTAACACAATCCTGTTTGTTGTCAGTCATCTTGATTTAAAGGCGTCCTGCAACTCAGACTGCGCATGCTCCTTGTCAGTGTACTCACCTGTATGTGACGGTCAAGGAATCACCTATTTCTCAGCGTGCCATGCAGGATGTCGAGTCGTCACAGAACAGGTATACACGTAGATTGTGTTCTCAAAATTGATGGGCAGGTAATGTAAAAAAAAAATTAATAATAAAACGAGTCTAAGAAAACATCTTTCAAAACTGTTCTTATATGTAAATTATAAACATCAATTACCATTTTCTTTGAACATTTTGCAAACGTTGTATACACGTACGCCTGTAAAAATGATTGAAGATTAACAGTTGAATTTTTACCTTTGCTGAAGTTTGAGGAACAATATTTTCGAGCAAAAATATGAAATTCTTGGTGACTATCTCGATAGGATCGGTAAACGCACTAGACTATGCCTTGCCATTGGTTTTTGCCAAGATTCTCAGGTTTATGAACAACATCCTTGTATATTATGAGGCCAGCCAAAAGTGGATAAGTTCTCTAGAAAATAAATTCATGGCCTTTTTGGTAATAGCTGGCATCCATGCTAGATCAATTCTGTGAACCATGACAAACAAGATGTTGGTGGATCTCATCGTTAATTTTGACCCTTAATATACCTAATTTGCATAAATACTTGCCGTGTAATATATATTTTTTCCCCCATATTTGGATGTATTATATATTTTTTAATTTTGAAAAATTCATTTTGGTGATTTCACTTACACATCCTTACTTCAATAACATTTTCTAAAAGCAAATAAGTGACTGAATAATTATAAGGACATAGTGACGATCCAAAATGGCTACTATTATACCTAAATGTTGCGCGCATTTACCTTGTCTCCAGATATCTTCAAGTAGTCTTGCCAAATCTCAGTATTTTGATAAGCTTCAAATTCACCAAGTTGCAGCTAACCCCATTAAGACCTTATTATGAAGCCCGGGAAGGGAATTTTGTTTTTGGAATTTTCTAATTCGTTCGCACGAATTGCTAATTCGTTCGCACGAGTTGCTAATTCGTTCGCACAAGTTGCTATTTCGTTCCCACGAGTTGCTAATTCGTTCCCACATGTTGCTAATTCGTTCCCACGAGTTGCTAATTCGTTCCCACGAGTTGCTAATTCGTTCCCACGAGTTGCTAATTCGTTCCCACGAATTGCTAATTCGTTCCCACGAATTGCTAATTCGTTCCCACGAATTGCTAATTCGTTCGCACGAATTGCTATTTCGTTCCCACGAATTGCTAATTCGTTCAAACAATTGCTAATTCGTTCCCACGAATTGCTAATTCGTTCCCACGATTGGCTAATTCGTTCCCACGAATTGCTACTTCGTTCCCACGAATTGCTATTTCGTTCGCACGAATTGCTAATTGGTTCCCACGAATTACCAACTCGTTCCCACGAATTACTAACGCGTTCCCGGATCAACGAGTTCGATGTATGGGGGACCTCTGGCCCCGTGCACCCCCAGAACTAACTTTCACCATTTTGTTTTTGGTGCCTTTTAGGGTCTTAATTTTTTGGGGTGCCTTTTAGGTCATATTTGCGGCCGCCATCTTGAATTTGAAGCATGATAGCAAACAATGGGATACCAGAAATGAATTTGTGAGGGTCAAAAACATGCTTAAATTAACAATCTTATTGATGCTTTTATCACACTATTTGGCTAATAAAGGTTTTCCCGGCCAACTTCACGAATGTTTCATTCAATTTAACGCCTGGCTCATTCAACTTAGATTGAAATTGAAAAATCATGCAGATCGTCATTCGACAATCAAAAAGAATCATTCAATTTCACAATCCGAGCAATCTATCGCATTTTAGCTTCACTTGTCTTTGTAAAAGGTGCATCCCAACCTCGTCCCCAGGGTGTCGAGCAGTACGCGCCCACCACTACCTGCTCTCTCACCCTGGTATTAACCCCTTGCAATGACGTCACATAGCTACCACGTTTTGATGTCGTCCGCCATTTTGGGAGTCAAATTACACACAGTTTTGTACACGCATATACGTGACGGCGCCGCCACATGACGTCTTCCGCTCAATTTCCCTTTGACCCGTCACCTTTGCCCTCCTTTTTTGGTTAATTTATCGAGATCTGGGTACGGTACGTCGCCAGGCTCGGGTCAAGGTTTGTACAAAATGGTATCCTCGAGAGACCAGTTTTCGCGGGTATAGGGCTTTTTCTTTGTTTTGAAAAAAATTAACAAGTGCAAGATACCAATGGATGTCCTATTTACCTTCCTTAGTTCATGGGCAATATGCAAACAACAATAAAAACTGGACGACCTTCGTAGTTTTCACACAACGGAACGATCTCCGACGTCCTCGCGAAGCGCCTCCACGCGTCGAGCGTGACCTATTTCCGTGGGTTGCGGGGGGTACGGTGTCCCGGTAAAGTCATACGTGGAATAAATGTATGTCATGACTCGGCGTGTCTCCATCAGGCTCCATTGTCGGTAGCTATCTTATATTTTCCAAAAATCAACCTTCTATACTTCGAAAATATATCATATGGTATTAAAGCTATAAATTTCAAATGACCCTCCAACGCATGCCAATATCTGCCATGTCATTTCAAGGGTAACTGGACAGGCACTCCAATACATGCCACAGAGAACAATGAGAGTCCTCTGATAACAAAGTGAGTGCCCCCAGCTGGTCAGTATCAGGCACCCTCCAGGGCCTCCAACTCCTGCCAATTGGAGCCTTCACTGTTAAGACAAACTATCTGCCAATAAACTGCAGCTGGAGGGCATTGGCATAACCAACTGACATGCAGTAAACTACCCTCAGAGAGTAAGGGTTAAAGAAAGCACAACACGCGCTCTTTTCATGAACAAATGTATATTTTTAATATCTCACATGCACATTAATAACCGTCTTATACAAAATAAGCCTTTGCTGTATGTTAATTCATTCCTTCATTTTGAGGAAAATACCGATTTTTCTAGACAGTGAGAAAAATGATATAAGCCACATGTCTTTTATAGGCCTCCGTACTTTTTTCCCAGCATGCTCGGCACTCAAACTAGTCACGTGATTTTGATCATTACGAAATTTTTTTCGAAACTTTGTAAGCTGAAACTTTCAATGATTATGCAATAATTATTTATGGCTCTAGCAATATAAACATGTTTTGTACCTTGCGAATTAGGCCTAAATAACCCAAATTTTGATATTTACAAGTACAACTTACCGGTAGAGCCTTTACTTTCCACATTTTTGGGTCAGCGGAGAGGAGAGGAGATTGTCAGCAACTAGAAAAGTTTATTTCGTCACGGGGAGTTGTTTACAGTGCGCCGCGTAACGCAGAAGGTAAGGACGCGGAAATAGGGCACCGCGAAAACAGGTCCTCCCACGATACATACTTGTGTTGTGGTGCGTTGTAAACACAGGAAAACAGCCGGGTCGGGCATTTCTTTCTATCGGTTTCCTACGGACGAAGAGCGTCGGCAAAAATGGATCAATGCAATAAAACGTGAACCGGGTTGGATGCCGAATGACGGGAGCCGTCTCTGTAGTGCACATTTCATTTCTGGTAAGTCATGTAGGCCTAGGCTATAAATGCAGCCTGTGTGGGTAAATTTTGTGAATTCGACATTTGCAAGTTCGTCTTGGCTTTAATCTAACTTAGCTAGGGCGGCTAAAGTGGGATCTTCAGCAGAAGGACTACCGATAACAGTTCAATAAATTCTAGCATTCGTCATTAAACAATGAATCGTCCTGTTCAAATAACTACCATTGTGATGGGTGAGACGTTGCCTAGCATATGCCAAGGCATGCTAGGCCTTTAGTAAGCCATCTTATTTAGGCTGAGTGTTACTCAGGACTATCTGAGCAGAGCCTGCTTCAACATGCCTTGGCATGCTTGGGCTTGGCTTTACTGCCCTTTTTCAATTTCTTATATTTATCTGGTTGAATATTTCTTAAATTAAAATTGCAGTTAACTTATAGTAATATGGCCTACAGTCCTAAAGTTTGAGCCAAAAAAAACCGAATAGAAATTTCAAACGCATGCAGTAAACTTTTCTTACTCTGAACAATGATGTAAGCTAGAAAATGACGAGGAAAACACCCCATATGGGACTAAAAGACCAAGTAAAAAATAATTTAGTTTCTTGCAGGTTTTTCTTTCATAAACCTAAAAGAAGACAAGCGTTTGTTTTCCAAGATGCCAGACTTTCCAAGATGGCATGTAGATTTTTCTGTTTTCTTGCTTCTTTTGCTAATGCATATGGTGTCCAAAGTGATATAGGTACAAAAAAAGATACATGTAGGCCTACAGTTTTATTGGAAAGAAATTTTAAAAAAAGAGGCAATTTATTCAAATTGATCCAATTCAAGCAACATCTATTCCACCACAAGCATACAATGCAAATCATCATAGCCTGAACATGGACAGATGGCTTGAAAAAAACTGAAAAAAAGAAAAAAGAAAAAAAATAGGTGGCAGGAAACCAACAAAGCAGTTGCGGTTATTATAGGTCTAAGCAAAACAATTTAACCAGTTTCTACTGGTTTATTTGTTTGCCTTGTAATCTCAACTAGTACATAGGTTGAGCCTTTGTCCAAAGTCCCATTACAATAATTGGGAAATGAGCTTAATTTGTTTCTAACAGTGTCCTTCAGAGCAATTGAGCTAGTGCACCCAAGTCCCCTCCCACTAACCCCATTGTTGGCTATATAATAGGGATCAGGGATAGCACATTCCGAGTTTATTGTAAAAAAAAAAAACAAAGTCAGAAACAGAGTTTTAACTACATGAAATAAATATGTGCATTTTTTAAAAAAAAATTTCTCTTACTTATACAGGAAAACAGAGCAGAAATCCTCTGTCACCGGATTATGTTCCCTCAGTTTTTCCAGACACGACATCTCCTGACAAGAAACGGAAGAGGACTGCTCTGGAACGGTTTGAAAAGCGTGAGGCACTAAAACTTCGCAGGAGAGAGAATGCCGCTAAAGAAACAGCTGCACAGGCTCTAATGACTTTGCAAACTGAAGCCTTAGAAAAGGTTCAAATGGAACAAGATTTGCAAGAGGAAGCAGCAGAGACTTTACTGAGTCTGCAAGTGCATCAGCCATCTATGTCATGTCAATCTGCACAGCAAGCTTCAACTTCAACTTCTTCCCCTTCAGATACAGTAAGTGCAGCCTCCATTGAGTTAGAGTGTAGGAGACTGTTGGAGGAAAATCATCATCTCAAAGAAACTGTAGAACATTTGTCACTGTCAGAAAACAGCTTCAAAGATGATGACAAGGTCAAATTCTGCACAGGTCTTCCATCATTAACACTACTTCAAACTGTTCTTCAGGAGATTTCACCATTTCTGAACACTCATCCTAAAGCAGTTCTTTCAAAGTTCCAGCAGCTACTAATGACACTTATGTACCTTCGTCTTAACCTCTGTAATCAAGATTTAGCCTATAGATTTAATGTGAACTGCTCAACTGTTTCAAGAACAGTTAATAGTGTGATTGATGTGCTTTATGCAAGGTTGGTTCCCATGGCTGTGTTTTGGCCTGAAAGAGAAGAATTAAGGAAAACCCTTCCAATTGTGTTCAGATCTGTATATCCAAAGTGTACAGTGATCATTGACTGCTTTGAAGTCACAATGGAACGATCAAGTGACCAAAGGGCTAAGTCGCAAACATACTCCAGTTACAAGGCCAGGAATACCTTGAAATATTTGATTGGTGTTGCACCTCAAGGAGCAATCATTTTCATTTCAAAGGGATGGGGGGGTCGAGCAAGTGACAAACACATAACTGAAAATTGTGGTATCTTGTACAAATTGCAACCAGGCGATGAAGTGCTGGCAGACCGAGGTTTCAACATTCATGATTCAGTAGGTGTATATGGTGCGACCCTAAAAATACCTGCCTTTACTAAGGGCAAGAGCCAACTAAGTAAGGAAGAAGCCGAGACCACAAGAAAACTTGCTTCAGTACGAATACATGTTGAGAGAGTAATAGGTTTGGTCAGGCAGAAGTACGAAGTATTGAATGGTCCTGTAGAGATCTGTAAGCTAATGAGGAAAGATGAAAACATGACAACATTTGATAAGGTTGTGCATGTAGCCTGTGCCTTGACTAACCTATGTACTTCCATTGTGCCATTTGATTAAATGAGGATGTTGCCAAATTGTTGATCACACTTCTGCACAGGCTGGATGTTGAAGAAAATCGTCAACGTTCATAACAGAAATAATTTGTTCACAACTAAAAAAATGCTGTCCAAGATTGGAAACACAACTTGTGTGCTTCATAATCATTCAAAGTGCATGTTCACAATTGGAACTTGTACGTGCATAATTTTTAGGGGAAATTACAAGCATAATTAGACGAAATAAAAGGCCGCCTCCTTTTTTTTTAAACGGAAAAAAATGTTTTATTTTCAACAGTGACATTATTTTGGCCTCTTTATCCGTTGCATGTAGCCCATATAAAGCTGTTTTGTCATTTCCTGAGTAAAAAAAAAACAAAAAAAAACTGGCAGCCATCTTGAAAAATAGCCCGGTCGGGCAGCCATTTTGGAGGGAGAAAAAAAAGGGCCTCCCTCTTCCTTGTTTTCAAAAAGGCAGGACACAGTCACTAAACATGTAGGAAATTTTTTTTGTATGATCATATGGACGTGTCTACGTGTAGTCAAGGGTAAAAGGTAGAAATTGATGGTTTGGGTGTTTTTGCCTCATTTTTACCATACAAAATTTAGGTAGGGCTGCCAGAATAGGTTGATATAGAAACGGGAAGCAGAACTATTTTCTTTTGTGGCCTTATCCAAATGTGCTGGTCTATATGTTGTTTGTATTAAGCTCATCCTCATGTGAGAACCAATTTTTTTAAAATACTTTTAGAAGTAAGCATACTTGTATAAAAAAAATATATTTTTAATTCACACAATCATATACATTGAGACCAGAGATCTGAGGGTTTTAAATCTTTTATGGTGCTCTATTATATGTACATAAACATGAAGTCTAAAATTAAAATACTGCAAACTGTTTTCCTGTATATTACACTTACAATCTTATTTGAGATGGAAAACAAATATTTTACATATATTTTCAAAGAATAATTTATTGCGTGTACCTGGATGAACAAGGCTATTTATTAGTATACATGTATCATATTTGTAAATTTATCTTTCCATTTCCCCAGGTTTAGTTAAACTTAAATACATGTAAAGCATAAGCAGGTACATAGAGGATCAAAGAATTTGAAAAGTTTTTTGTCACGTAAAAAATAAGTAAAAGTAAAATTAATATATAAAGAGTGATTTCTATTTTTGTTCTTATATATTAGGGTCATCAATATGAATTTAACATCTAAGAAAATGGAATTTGGCACTTTGATTAGTCATATCCCAGTACCATAAATATAAAATTGGAACACTGACAGTCAAAACACTGTTAATATATTCATATGTTATTACTGTAGTTAAAAATGTATGATTTCTATTTCACATCTCCTGAAATATATCTTATGCACTTGTACATAAAATACTGGACAGTCGCCAATAATAAAATACTGTTAAACACTTGAAATTGCCTACAATTGCCCCTCTTTAATGATTGTTTAATAACTTATATATAACCTAAGGCACCTAAACAGGTTGCAAAAACAAAATTTAGAAATGCTGAGACTTTTCTAAATTGGTCAGCATTTCATGAGAAAAAACTTCCAAATTCACCATTATATTTAGAATTTTCCTATAAGATGGATTTTTTTGCGCCGGGGTGATATAAATCAAATTAAGTTTTGCCCTACACCAACGTAGAATTTTCCTCTTTGGTATTAGCAAGTACCACGATGTACAGACCTGTTTAAGAGTCATTATGCTTTGTTAAGTGTCATTTTAGGTCAGCTGCACCCCTGTTAAACACCATGTCCTTTTCTAAACAAAGCTTTCTCCATTTAATGCAGACATGTACATACCCCCTTGTTTATGGTGCAAATCAAGGATTGTTTTTGTTCCTCGTCCCTTTTCCTTTGTTTGTACTCTAAACTTATTTGCAACAGCTTTCATTGGTTCTGTACACATTTTCCAACCGAGGAGTCCTTGATTCATAGATGATGTTGCACATGTGTGTCCTCGATTGACACCATAAACAAACGCTACCATAACTGCTCAACTATGGGTGTGTACATGTATTTAATGTTTGCACTGCAAAAGCTACTCTATGTAGTTTTAAAACTGATCTTAACAGATTTGAAGCTCTAAATTATGCCCACAGAAATTACTTCGGAAAATAACTTAATGCAGGCTCATTCCCACACCATCCCCTTGATATAAATTCTCCCCTTCATTTTATTGGTTGCCCATTATGAATATACTTACTGTTCCTTCACCTTTGCTGTACGTTTTTGTGCAACCTCAATCTTTTTACAATTTGGGCATAAATACCGCTTTGTCTTTGGCAGCACCGTTAATCCAAGACATCTTAAATGAAATACTTTTACTCTGCATTCAGTAGATTGACATTCAATCATACCATGACCAGTGTTTGCCTCACGACAAAAACAACAAACATTTACTTGTGTCTGTGAACTGCACTCAGCAATGGTGTACCCTTCTCCTACATTAGATGTTGTGTACCACTTACCAAGCAGCTCAGGCAAAATACCCACTTTGAAAAACAGTTTTGCTTTTTCAACATTTTCCTTAAGAAACACATCATTGGGGAATATTCTCTCAATATGTGGAGCATCAGGTTTTGTTCGAGACCAAAGAACAAAATCGCAATAGGGTTTGTTGGAAACAAACAACTGGGCTTGAACCTGAAAATAATAAGGATGACTATGCTTGAGGTACAGCTTTCCATCTGAGCTACTCTCAAGAGGGAAGTCCTTCCTTGTCAGGCCTTCACTGATGTTACAGTCCTTTACACAAAAAGGGCACTTTACCTCCAGCAGTCCATCTCCACAGCAGGTGCAGGTGATGTGTGCATCGGGGGATGCCCCTAGAAAGGGGAGGTCAGGGCAAATGTACAAGCCAACATCTCTGACATGGAGATTGTCATGGTTTGATGACTGACACTTGGTGTAGCTTTCAACTGCATCTTTCTCGTGCTGACAGCCCCAACTGAAAAAAAAAGAGTTTGAATCTATGTTGACATCAATTAACTGTAAAAGTTTAATATTTACTGACTGATCTGATGAAGTCGTTTGGGACATGATCAATGATCACACCCCCCCCTTCTTTGCCTCCAACCTGAATTTGCCCCCAATCACTTTCACAATTATCAGCTACTTGTACAGTAATGTATTTTTGGTGTCAAAAGATGCGCAAGGCTTGAGGCTAAAAAGTCACAAAAGCTCCGGTCCCGAAATTTTTTTTCTCGAGGCTAGCGCGGAAACAGTTGAGGGGGGGGGGGGGCAGATTCTGCCCCCCCCCCTGGCCCCTTTAGGGTTAAGTCATCATTTAATAGTGAGCACAGAATGACCACTCACACTTACTATAACATACAAACTTTAAAAGTTGTAAACTTACCGAGTTGCAGCAGTACTGAAGCTGTATGCAGCTGGATAGCAGATTGATTTGATCAAATACGCTGATGGCATGGCAGGGTCTGTACACACTACTGATTTGAACTTGGATGCAGTTATTCGACCAGCTCGGTAGATATGCCACATCTTGGTCTTTGCCTGCTGACGGGTTAGCTCCTCAATTGCATTACACTGAAAATGATGAAATATATAAATAAGGATCTTTTTCTCTTGTTATAAGGGGTCGCCCCCAAAATCTCTTGATGTGCCAAAGGTCATCATTATTAGTTTATCATGTCAATTGATTGAACCATCCTATGCAAACATACATTCTGTGCCAAGTTGTTCTTGCAGTCAAAATCAATAAAGTGACTGTTTTCAACAATTAAGAGCTCCCACTGACTAGCTGCGACTGTTTATGTAGCATGATACAGCTGTGATTTGACTAGACTGAAGGTGATTGATAAGACAGCTGTGCCACCAGTTTCCTGTTGTCGTCTGTTGACTGAATTTGATTAGTCAAAGTGCTTACTAAAAAATTATGATCTGACTGTGACTTGCCTGTGTAAAAGGCATAGCAGCGGAAGTGTCTGAAAATTTTGACTATGAGGGTTAATGCTTTAATTGTGTCTCTGCCACTACCACAAAAGGCTCAGTGTTGTGTTTACTAAACTTTGCACAAGCCAATACAGCAGTGTACATGTGCATGTACATGTACTTACCATGTCCACATCCATTGTCATGTTGTTGAAAACAGCTTCACATTTGGTGAGTAGTTGGGGATACGACACCTTGAGGTTTTCTGCACAGTAGAGTTTTGTCAGTGGCTCAGGAAGTTTCAATTGCAGAGCTTTTGGGATGAAATCTGCAGCATATGCAGGCACAAGTGACAGTATTGCAGATGGTACACCTGTCCCTTTAAGCTGTTGGAAAAAGTTGTCTGTTTCGTCTTTAGATGGCGGGGGTACAGATCTAGATTTGCAGGAGCTCTTTGGCAAAGTGGTTGGGGCTTCAGTCATTCTCCTTTTGGGTTTGCTGAAGTTGATGTTGCTTGCTTCCGCATACATGTCGTCACCGCTAGATCTACTCTTTGCTGGCTTAATCCACGTACATGGTTTGGATGTGCAAGTAGTTGTGCTCATTTCCACACCTTTTGACACAGCAAACAGAGTTGCCGCTACATGAGAGCATACCTCTGTTACTCCTGCCATGCATGTGCAATGCGCAGTGATCACAACTCCATCCTCTTGGATAGCCACCCATACCTTGACAGGGGGGTCATTGAGTCTCTGTGAATGGTGTACCTAGGCAGAAAAAAAGAAACATTCAAATTAGGACATACATGTATTAGGTTTTCCTTTTGACTACTAGAATTAGAAAAAAAAACCTATGCCTTATTTTGAATTTTGATCATCTCAGCTCCTTGGAAGAATATAGAGCCAGGGGTAGATGCAGACTTACATTGTACATGTGTAGCCAAACGCTACTGGGGCATGTGGAACCGGGTCCCCATAGTATCCGACTGTTGATGTCATCATAAGTTTGTAAAAATGAAGTGGCTACATGTATTGTTACAAATGTAGGTTAGCCGTAACGCGACTTTCAACGCTATTGTAACAGAACTATGTATCTTTGGCTGTTGAAACCAAACTGATCAAACAAATGGTTCTCCAACTTCATTTCCCAACACCACTCACTTCTAAGAAAAAATGAGGTCTACTTAAATAAAGGAAGAGTTTGATTAAAAACCTAAAAAGTTATAAAACCAAATCAATTTATAAAAAGAATAGTAAACAGAAGCACGGCATGGGTTTTTAACCTGGATTCCCGACTCATTAATCTAACGTGAAACCAACTAATCAAGCTTTTAAAACATTCTGATTCATTGCGCAGTTACATGTATAAATCTATTCTAATATACACTCGCATTGTGTTTTTACAGTCAATGCCATAGTTTGAAAATTGTGTTTACAGCTGTCATTTACTATAGACACTGTAGCGTAGGGCCTACATTCACATTCAGTGACATTGTAGAAATAAAAGTAGGCCTAGTCCACTCACTGGCACTCGGATACATATTTTATATTACTTATAATATAGCTTGAGTAACTCCAGCTGAGTGACATGCTCATATTCATTCACATGTAGCTAACTCCAGCTGACATGCTCATATTCATTCACATGTAGCTACATGTGAATGAATATGAGCATGTCAGCTTGAGTTACTCAAGCTAATTTTATATAGGTCTACAACGATAAAACAACAGTCAATTGTTAAAGATTGACCCAGATTAGTGAAGATAAAATTAAAAATCACGACTCACCTTTGACAAAATCACAAAAACAGAGGTAGTTGGATCACGTTTCATTGGCTGGTGCCACACAAGTAAGTGATTTACTTTACCAGCAATGAAATACTTGTATCCGTCTAGACTTTTGTAAGCCTTCATGGCTTCCCCCGTGTAAGACGAAGGGAAGTTTATGAGGTACATATAAATATCTGGAAATTCTAGCTTTGGTAGCAAGTTGGATTTCAACAACGGTGTGCAGCATGATGCGGGGATGAGGTATGGTCGCATGTTCCAATGTTCCCCAGCTTGTTCACGTATCTCTCCTTGTCAGGCAAAGGAAGTTGTTCCACCTTTTCCGACAAAGAACTAGGTGGCCCAGAACTTGAACTGGCACTGCCCCTGGATAACTGACCATCGACCACGGCCGCCATGCTGCAAGTGCAAGTGGTCAATATGATTGATTCGCGACACAAATTGGCACGTCGTACGGTACGATTCTTCTACGAGTACGAACAAGCATCGGACGTGATGTGTATCGTGCGTGCGCGATATGCTAGCAGACGATAATTTGACTCCCAAAATGGCGCCATCAAGATTTTGTGTAAAATGATGACGTCATGTGCATTGGGTTAATTGGATCATTTGCATGTGCAAGATTTTTGCACACGTGTGCAAATGAGGAACAGTGCCTGGATATGCGTTACACATTAGCGTTTGTTTTTGTATGCGGTGTCTGGGGTAAAAACAGAGTCAATTCGTAGCAGCGCGAACACGGCGTGAGTTACGAAAACACGATTTTTGAAATCAAACTGTTACGATCTTATCGAGACAACATGCAGTATCATAATTCATATTAATATGAGCAAATTGGAAAGGAAATTAGTATTTTCGAGAAGGCGTGGACGAATGATCGCGAAAACACGTACTGAACGTTGTGAATATATAGCACCAAGTACACGATAAAAATCCATTACTAGCCAATTGCGGTATCCAATCAGGATACAGGAAGAAAGTTTCCTATCCAGGGTTTACTATTGGAAACGCGGTTGGAAATAAAGTAAGCACTGGGGACGAGGTTGGGTGCATCCACATTAATCAATTTCGTCTAAACCAGTATGGGGTTGGTCGGGCATTCCTTTTCATTAATGGGCAAACATATTTCACATTTTGTAAAGCATGTTTTAAGACTTCCTGCATGTAAAATTCTGAATTATCTCGGCGTAAATCATATCTGATGTCTTCAATCCGTAAATGGACACCTCTCTTTCTTAATTAAAGGGTCCGTGCAGTGATTTTTTTCTCATGATTACATTTTGTGCAACTTTCTACTACTCCAAAATGTATGAAAGATATTTTGACATCCTTTTTTGGTTAGTCTTATTGTAACGTGCACGTCTTTAAACATTTAAAAGTTCCATGCTTTTCCGGACTAATGAGCGCGCTGTTGCTGTGATGTGATTTCAGGAAGACACTGTTCAGTTAAGGGGGTTTCTTTCAAATTATTCACCCAAAATTTGCTAAGAAAACACTTTTGAGAAAGGATTGCTCATTGCCTTACTGCCAAGTACTGACACAACAAAGAATCACCAAAGAAAAGAAATGTATGACAGCAAAATATCCAAAATTCTAGCAACTTTTTGTGCTGAAATAGCCCAGTAACATTAATCTGCACGGAATGACATCAAAATCTTGTTCATGCGTGAATATGGAACCAAAAATACCCTTCAAAATGGAAAAAAACCTTGAAAATAAGGTTAAAATGTGACACAAAGATTTGTTTTCCAGGTTTGCATTGAACAATTACTTTGCATGGGCCCTTTAAATAAGTGTTCGGTCAGACATTCGTAAGAAAACATTGAAGAAAATTACCCAAGAGAAGGGTTCCCCATGGTACAACCATTCCCAAACATACACGACCCGATGTCTTGCACGTCAAGAAATCGTCAACGTAAAGAAGCCTCTTGCTCAAACGTTTTAACAAGTACAAAAGATCAACAGTGAAAAATAAATTATCTTAGCCCTTCAGCATTTCGGTACATCTTGTATCCCTCTTATCAGTTAATTTGTTACAAAATTTTACAGTCACCAAGATGTTTTGGGGAAACTCAATCAACCTCGTTGGAAAATAGGAAAACATATCACTTAAAAAATCTTGTTAATTTGAATGATCACATAATGAAAGTGATTGCCCATAATAAATTATACGAATAAGACACACAAAAAATGGTATAAGCGCACCGACGGTCGCTAATTTGAATGGGTCAACCGTCAAAAGGTTGACATTCAGTCTAAAATCTTGGCTGCCTAAAAAAGAAATTGAATGGCCCAAAATGAAAAAGAAACCCCAATTTAATCACAATGTGCAAAACTCATGCGAAATTGAATGGCTGATAATGAAACTGATTAGAAAAATTCGGAAATTGGCCGGGAAAACCTACTTTATATATAATTTTTTTCCATTTTGGCGGCCATATTGGCCGCCATCGTGCATTTGAAGCATGATAGCAAAAACACGATACCAGAAATGAATTTGGGAGGGTACAAAACATATATTTCACTTGTGATTTTATCATATTATGAGGCTGATAAGTGACTTTTTCAATATTTACGGATATGGCGGCCTTATTAGCTACCAAATTGGCCGCCATCTTTAATTTGAAGCATGATAGGAAAAACAAGATACCAGAAATGAATTTTTGAGGGTCTAAAACATATAACTAACCATTTTATTTATGCTTTTATCACGTTATTGGGCTGATATATGTCTTTTTTTCCAGTTGTTACCAACTTTAGCGGCCATATTGGCCGCCATCTTGGATATCTCCTTCGCACCGGATTTGTTTTACAGAGCGGTAAAGTTTTGGCGGCCAGATCAGGCCGCCATCGTGCACTTGAAGCACGATGTCAAAAACACAATACCAGAAATGAATTTGGGCGGGTACAAAACATAATAACTAACAATTTCACTTGTGATTTTATCATATTATTAGGCAGATGTGTGACTTTTTTCCCCATTTTTACCAATATGGCGGCCTTATTAGCTACCGAATTGGCTTCCATCTTTAATTTGAAGCATAATAGGAAAAAAAGATAAAAGAAATGAGTTTTTGAGGGTCTAAAACATATAACTAACCATTTTATTTATGCTTTTATCGCATTATTTGGCTGATATATGTCTTTTCCCCCCGTTTTTTCAACTTTGGCGACCATATTGGCCGCCATCTTGAATATCTCCTTCGCACGGATTTGTTTTACTGTTAACATCCAAAGTGTGTTTAAGGACCCTAAAAGGCACCCCCAAAAATGGTGAAAGTTGGGGGGTGCACGGGGGTCCCCCATACATCGAACTTGTGGATCAGGTAACGCGTTAGTAATTCGTGGGAACGAGTTGGTAATTCGTGGGAACGAATTAGAAATTCGTGGGAACGAAATAGCAATTCGTGGGAACAAATTAGCAATTCGTGCGAACGAAATAGCAATTCGTGCGAACGAATTAGTAATTCGTGCGAACGAAATAGCAATTCGTGCGAATGAGTTAGCCATTCGTGGGAACGAATTAGTAATTCGTGCGAACGGATTAGTAATTCGTGCGAACGAAATAGCAATTCGTGCGAATGAGTTAGCAATTCGTGGGAACGAATTAGCAATTCGTGGGAACGAATTAGCAATTCGTGCGAACAAATTAGAAATTCGTGTGAAGGAAATAGCAATTCGTGGGAACGAAATAGCAATTCGTGGGAACGAAATAGCAATTCGTGCGAACGAATTAGCAATTCGTGCGAACGAATTAGCAATTCGTGGGAACGAATTTAAAAATTCCAAAAAAACATTCCACCGTGTCCCTTCCCGGGCTTCATACCTTATGGAAAATCATGTGAACAATGATAACGTTGATATTTAGCCCAGCATATTCGGGTCAAAATTTAGCGTGGCATCCACCTACAGTTTTCTTCTCCATCTTTTGACTGATTGATCTGACATGGTTGCCTGCTTTTACAAAAAAAATGCCATCCAAAGTGTAATTGGCTGGTCCACAATCAGGGTTTGTGTGAAATGTCATTATCCTTACAGGAATACGGCGACTGCTCATGCTTAACCACTGGGCCAACAAATACAGCTATGGACCTTAACGCAAATGGAACAAGTGTGACTGTTGAGGAGGCCTGTGACAATCACTGCACACTCGGTGCCTTGTACCTTGTGGTGCTGACCGTTGTGTTGATGCTGGCCCAATTCGCACAGCTCATGCGTTTGAATGTCGTCATTCGGTAACTATTTTCACTCGCTGTTTCTTGTAACGAGCGTAGACCTACCATTCGGCGGAGTTGATCAGACAAACCTCTCTGCTTCAGCCATCTTGTTTTCTCGTGCTTTATCTTGATTGCTGTCTCTTGATGTTTTTTGTTTTCTTCGCCGACGTTTCAGGTGTGTGGGGGTTACTGTAAAGCAACTTATAGTGCTTGCACTTTTCCAACTCTACCTGATTCGTTTTGTTCAGTAATAATAATAATACTAATTACATGGTGGGTAAAAAAGAAGAAACGAAACCCAAATGGCAGGACCAATTTTTGAATGACGTTTTGCCTGTAGCACTTTCAAATCTAGGATATGAAAGCCCAGTCATTAAGTTTTCTTTAGAACAAGAATCATTCAAATCACTCATGTAGTTTTCAACTTACAGAATTTTGTCAACGGATCACAAAACAAGTAAGTGTCCTTTCAGCAAAACGAAAACAATTCTCTTTTTCCACCTTCACTTTTCTGGGTTTTTTTCCTCGCACGGGCCGGGACAATAATGTAACAAGCGGTTTAATGCTATAATTTCTTTTTTTTTCAATAGGGGGCGCGCCACATGCTCAGTGGTCACTACTGCCTACACAGCGTCAACACGGATGCCTCGCTAGTATTGAGTCAAATGAAGACACTCATGGTTCGGACAATACCTCTAGAAATACTAAATGTATTAACCCAATATTTCCTCCGGGAAATGTTGATGATGTGTCACGATCGCCAGGATGGTTATGCGAGCATTCGTCAAACAACAAAAATAATATGACAGAAATAACTTAGTGTTTAACCGTGCACAACAATCCAAATGAGTCAACGATCGTGGCAACAAATCACTCGTTGTTTAGAGCAATAACTTGTGAAATACCAAATGATGGGGGTTCGGGTGATAAGTCACGATTTACTGAATGTATTGAATTGAAATTCCGTCCAATATTTCTTCATGATGCATCACATCACTTTTCATGGGAATTCGTCCAACAAGAAAGAAAATGAGATCAAAACAATTAAGTGTTATACACGTGAAAAATAAATTTTGAACGAAAGCAACGTTCATGGCAAAAAAAGTCACACGCCTTTTGGGGCAATAACCCAAGAAATTCGATAGACGTTCCATCGTTTCATTTTTTTCATGGGCATTAATTGTTACGCAAACTCTTTTTCCAATTTCACTTTTCTGTCTTTTTTTTCTCGCACGGAGACAATAATGTAACAAGCGGTTAATGATATAATTTCCTTTTTTCTGTAGAGGGCGCGCCACATACACAGTGGTCACTACTGCCTACACAGCGTCAATATGGATGCCTCGCTAGTATTGAGTAAAATGAAGACACTTATGGTTCAGGCAATATCTCAAGAAATACCAAATGTATTATACAGAAACTTTGTCCATTAATATTTAATGATGTGGCATTCAGAAAGTTAATTTGATCAGATGAGAATGTACAGAGTAGTAGGCGTATCCAAATCTTCATTCAAAAATTGGTCCTGCCATTTGGGTTACTTTTTTTTAATCACCCTGTATAACATTAAAATAAAGAAAGCTATGAACGATAAATGAAACCTGCCATAATCTACACAGAAAACATAAAGTGAGTAATTTGACTCAATATCATAATAATTGAGTCATTTTACTATACGGACAAAATGACTCCTTTTGTACGATATTGAGTCTAATTATTTTTACTCGCTTTGTGTTTTCTGTGTAGTCAGCTTTCCGTGAAAGATCCGTGATGTAGTTTTTTTTAGAGTGATCTGGTAATTAACGGTAATTAATATTTCCGTTTGTATAACAAAGTCCATTACGTACGTAAACCATGCAGGTTTATTACAGGTTTTCTTAATTTGTTAAAGGTGCGTTTCTCCAGAAGACAGGCCGGTTGCTCTGGGCGTCTACAATGCGACAGCCCTGTTGGGTAAGCTAGTCTTTATATTTTCATTTTGGTAAACAGTGCCTTTGTCAATTAGATTTGCTTGTACACGGTTTTTATTGTGATAAAGATTTAAGAAATTCAGACTATATGTCCCATGTGTTTGCTCAGAGGAGCGTTCGACCCTAACGCAACCTTTGGGCTAAAACACAAAACCGTGTTTTTGACATAGGGATGAACATGTCGGTGGATTGTTTTCGTTTTGCTGAAAGAACAATATTACATGTATTACCTTTTTTTGTGATCCGTGGGCTGAACTTTAAAACGCTGTTTGTATTCAAAATTAAGTAAATTGAAACGTACACAACTAATTGGGCTTTCACATCCTAGATTTTGAAAGTGTCACATGTAGAACTTCATTAACCAATATTCCTGCCATTTGATTTTCCTCTTTTTTTGACTCACCCTGAATAATTTAATACAACTACATGTATATCTTTATATCTTAATTATCGCATGAAGGCTTCGGGGTACAAAAATGTTGTCCTCGAGAATCGAGCCGTTAGAGCGCTATAGTTGTCAACAGTATTATGTTGCAGGTTTGGTCAAAAACTGGACAACTTCATTCGCTGCCTGAAATACGTTTGAACGAGGCGAAAAAATCGAATAGTTTTATTTTACGTTTTCATGTATATAAGACGCAATGTATAGGCAGATTTTCAGTTGCCCAGACCATGTACATGTGGCTTGTTAACAGTATGAAGCAAACATTATAAGATGGAATTATGAAGTATGAAGAAGTATGAAGCAAACATATTCCGAACAACATTTCACACTTAAAGGGCAAAGGGGATCTTTCTTTTCCAATAATAACTCCATTCGAAATCCAAAAGAAGAGTGCTCAAACCCTATAACCGGTTGAAGTTTCAGCTCCGACATTGAAAATGACACTTTTCGTGCATACAGTGAAAACACAACCTTTTGATCACAAAACACGATTTCGTCCATATAGCACTCTGTATTTCCAAAAAAAAATCGATTGACGATGTTAGACACCCAAATCTCATTTCTAACTCAAGTTATCATCCGGAAACTATCAATTTAACTAACCACGGTGATCTCGACCTTTAACCTTTTGACCCAACAACCAATCCCTACTTGCCTGTACCCAAGTGCAACCCCCTACCGAAGTAGGACACCCAAATCTCATTTCTAATTCAAGTATTATCACCCAGAATCCATTAACCTTTAACTCACCATGGTGACCTTGTCCTTTGACCTTTTAACCCCAGAACCAATCCCAACTTGCCTGTTCCAAAGTGCAACCCCCTACCGCAGTAAGACACCCAAATCTCATTTCTAACTGAAGTTATCATACGGAAACCAAATTTAACTCTACACGGTGACCATGACCTTTGACCTTTGACCCAAGAACCACTCATACTTGCCTGTTCCCAAAGACAACCCCCTACCGAAGTAAGACACCCCAAATCTCCGATTCTAAAACAAGTTATCATTGGGAAACTATTTACATTTAACTCACGACGGTGACCTTGACCTTTGACCTTTTGACCCCAAAACAAATCAAATTTGGCTGTTCCCAAGGGCAACCCCCTACCGACGTAAGACACCTAAATCTCATTTCTAACTCTTATCATCCGGAATGCAATGACCTTTAACTCACCACGGTGACCTTGACCTTTGACCCTTTGACCCAAGAACCAATCCCAACTTGCCTGTTCCAAAGGGCAACCACCTACCGAAGTAAGATACCCAAATCTCATTTCTAACTCAAGTTATCATCCGGAAACCATCAACCTTTCACTCACCACGGTCACCTTGAAATTTGACCTTTTGACCCGCAAACCGATCCAAATTTGCCTGTACTCAAGGGCAACCCCCTACCGAAGTTAGACACCAAAATCTCATTTCTAACTCAAGTTACCATCCGGAAATCATCATTCTTTAGCTGACCACGGTGATCTTGACCTTGAAAATCACCTATATACATTTCTTGATTTCTTCTAAATGACAGCAAACCATACAGAATATTTTCACGGTGTGTTAATAACAGTTCGAATTTAAATCCAAGCAATCTTTCTGATAATAATTCATAGGTTACTTTTGGGGTATATTTCTAAAATTTCGATTTCTTTACCGAACGAAATCTAAAGGAGTATAATTGTCCTGTAACACATAAATTTGCTTGTTTTGCAGGCCTTTTTGCAGTTTTAATGGCGCGCTCCAGTTAAGAAATTGGGCACACTACAGCAGAACGAATTAGGAGCGTCCCGCTCTTTACTCTAAAGTTGAAATTAATTGATTACTTTTTATAGGCCGATTTTTCGTGCGATGTCTCATTGGAAACTCACAACTATAATGCAATGCTAGAAAATTATCAGTTCAACTTAAAATTCCAGTTTTGAAGGTGCCACACCCAAAAAGCACTTTAAGAAGATGTTAGGGTAATATAGTCAAACACAATATTATAGCCATAACTTTTGCAAAATATCGCGTATAATTTGCTTTTTCTGAGACTAGACAACGTAGAGCTTTTTATGAAACGGCCCATCAGCTGAATAATTGTCTCTGTTTTTCTGTTTAGCTAGTGCCCCGGCTAGTTATGTGTTTGGCGCCATCATCGACTCCGCCTGCATGGTATGGCAACAAACGTGTTACGGTCAAGGGGCATGCCTTCTGTACGACAAGGTCTGGTACCGCTTCTCCTATAATGGACTTGCCTTGGGAGTTGGGATACTGTGTCTCGGTTCCATGCTTATTGTGTGGAAGTTTCCTTCGTACACAGATAAAAAGGTCAATAATAATGTGAAGGAAGAGGAATATGCATCGGAAGAAAAGTCTCTGACCGGTCCGATATAACACAATCAAGCATTTGTGCTATTTTGGAAAAAAAATACCTTTTAATTTGCTCTCGTATCAGCTTGATAGTTTTGCTTGATAAGTAATATCAAACGCGATATAAATATTGTAGCGGCAAGTTGTGAAATTTAATTTGGGTTTAATCATAGTTGTAAATTTCAAAGTGTTTTCTAAACTTTAATTTATGATCACGCATACCTTTGATTGGAAATAAGTTTGTTGCGGTAAAAACTGTTCATTAATTTTTCCCCTTACTTTCGTAATAGCGCCCTCTTGTGATATGGTGCATTTTGTAAGGTCAAAGTGTAAATTCTTCATGATTCCGATGATTCGTAAACAATGAACATGTACCAAATTTATCTCCCAAATAAATGTAAATTTATCAGGTTTTTTAAGTCCCAAATGTTGTAGTTTCGGATCCAACACAATCGGTAAGCCTTGTTGATTTATTCATGGTTATAATTTATCGTATTCTGAGTGATTTAGTAAGATTATTTGCAGCTTTTCAAAGTGAAGATTTATATGTTTTGGGGGTGTTTACTTACACGTACAGTGATAATGTACGCACTATGTCAAGTGAAGGCTCAAGCTCAATCGCATATATTTGACTAATTAATCTAATGGTTTATTATGTTTTTCTGTAATTGTTAATACTAAAGTTAAGTATTGTAATTTGTGTAATTACAGTGAACCACCACCACCATAAGAACCAAATACAGCAGCAATAAAGTACCTCTGCCTCAGGGTGCGTTCAGAAAGGGACCGAATACATGTACAATGTACTTCAAATAAAAATGCTTGTGTATAGCAAATGTTGTTTGCAAGGCTACAAATATGATATTTTCAACTGACTGAGTATTCAAGTTATAAAGTCAAAAAGGATATACAAATTGAGTGAAGAAAACACAGCGTATAGGGTATGAATAAAACATACATGTAATCCTTTTTATTGGTTTTTTTTTGGGGGGGGTGGTGGTGGGGTAAGTCTGAAAGTGCTTCAGTTGAACAATATCAATGTGATCACAAAGGGATTCGGCTTTCCATTAATACCTTGTTTCTTTACCTGCAGTACGACTGTGACCGTTAATTTTGTAAACCTTTATTAATTTTTCTTCATGAATTGTTTTAATTAAGTCATACATAATAAGTAACATATGTTTTAAACAAACATTTGCAAATTAATTTCATGTTGGTAAAAGGTATATACATTTACAATATTAAATAATAATATATATTAATTAAGTCTTACTTATAAGTAACCTATGTTTTAAACAAACATTTGCAAATTTATTTCATGTTGGTAAAAGGTATATACATTTAAAATATTAAATAATAATATTAATAATACTAGTAGTATGTACATGTTCATATATAACAATTTTTTAACATAAGTAATCAAGTAATCGCATAATTATCAACATGTAGGAATACTAAAATCATATCCCCAAACATACTTACGATTCGCACGTAAACTAATCGGGGTACCGTATACAGTGCACGACCAGTAGCTGCATGGAGGAGACTGTTGTTCGTATTGGGCTCCATGCAGTTCCTCATATAAATATTTCTGAGAAAATAATAGTTCCTGTGCGCAAGACACTTCACGGAAAAGGCCATGGATGAAAAAAAAGTGATTGAGAATTAAAGTCTGACATTGACGAAGGTGTTGCAGCTTCGTAGTACTAATGACGGTGATGGTACGGAGATTCAGTTCGGTTACAAGTTTAGGGCTTTATGAAAAAGATCCTTCTTTAAAAAGTAATGAACGAGACATGACCTGCCTTGAATGCAGATTGGTGTTAGGGGTTTTGAACTATGCATCAATTGGTAAGATTGTCAATCTGCTATAACTATGCGACAGTCACTCGTTCACCGTGGCACATTATTTTAGCCGCCTTGCTTGCGTTATTTGCGTCGCTTCGGATTTTCAAGGTAGCCTACCCTAAGAAAGGGTTGTGACACTGTTGTAACACTTTCGGTTGATTCTGGAATTTTCGTGTGTTTTGATTTATTCTTAGGCCCCCCCCCCCCCCCCCCCAAAAATATTCGGTCTCTGGTCAGACCAAAGTTCCGGGATTGACGCGGCCACGCGGCTTTTTTTTTTTTTTTTTTTTTGCTTTTTTTTTCTTCAAGCTTGGATTGTACAGACAAGGTGGGGTACTATTTTGCCTTTTTTTTTGAAAAAAAGAAGATCGACGCGCATGATTAAAATCGACGCGCGCACTGACCAGAGACCGACTTATTTTTTTTTGGCCTTACAATCATTTTGAATTTTTGACCCCTTTGGATATTTTAATGTTTTTTGATACGATTTGTGCAGTTTTTTGGTTTGTGACTTTTTCGTTCATTCGTTTGGTTCGGTTCTGCAAATCATGTTTGGCCTGTTTTACAATGTATTTGGTCATGTCGTAGTTTTTGTTTGTATTGTTATTTGGTTGATGGTTCGTCTGATATTTTGTTGTAGACCAATTTTCGGCTTTTATGTATGGTGTATATTAGGCTAGATATTATTTTATTTTGATATAAACAAAGCACAAATAGATAGTCCAAACTCATTGGAAGGGTCATAATTTTGAATCTGATCGTCGTATTGTAGCATAATGTAACCTTTTAGGGAATGTTGTTGCTACATTTTGATACTCCGTTTGCTACCAAAGATTGTAAATCATCCAACATTGAAAATGGTTAATGAAAAAGGATGCAGTTTGAAAAGGTGAAAATGTAAAGAGTAGGTCCTACGCGATTGAAAATTGCGCACGGTGCTGGTATTCATGGAAGCATGAAATTGAATTACCCGCATTTTGTTCGGGCACTGTACCCCAGCATTACATTCACTGTGCAGACTTCCGAAAAAAAGAGGTTCACATGACCAGGTATAGCAGCGACGTTGTGTGGACTTTTCAAACTGCATCATGTTTCATGAGCCGTTGTCAATCTTGCACGATTTACAGTTTATGTATCGTCAGCGTTTTCACGAAGTGGCGAATCCGCCCACACAGCGCGAACACTGCGTTTTGAGAAAATCGGTTTTGAAGTTGGTCACTTTTTGAAACGGTCATTTCTTCCCACTTTTAATCCAAATTTCAAAAGACTTTTTACTGGTACGATAGCTCTTTAGTTAAATGACATGACCAGATACATATTTCTGCAATTGGATTTGTAGTTTAAGAGCTGTAAATTACGAAACGGATTCGCCGCTTCGTGAAAACGCAAAATGCAGACCTCAACCGATTCGCCACACACAGCGCGCGGATTCGCCACTTCGTGAAAACGCAAAACGCAGAGGTCAGTGGATTCGCCAAACTTGAAAACGAGGCCAAAAGCTCTTCGCGCGATTCTACGCTCATACGCGCACAGTGAAAACGTTCAATCGGCGTGGCCGCCTCGGTTTCGATCGACTTATGGTGGAACTTACTATTACATGTACATTTGTACTTATTTTGTACAAATTAAACACGTTTGAGGATTGTAGTATTACATGTACAAGTTTAAATGGCGAGATTACAGTTAAGATACTGGTATTGAATTTACCTGCAATGTGATCCTGAATAATAGCTTATTTCTTATATCATTGTCATTTTAAGGAAAGTTTATATAGTGATTGTAAAGGGGTGGATGGATCCAAGTTTTGTAACTTTTCACAAATCAGTGGATGTAACTGCATGTATTTAACCCCAAATAAAAAAAATCATACAGACAAGCGACTCTATAATTTAGCAGAACTTCTTTATTGATAAATTCGGGTATAATTCAAGTTTACAATTAAGGAACATTTTAGAGAGATTTAAGTAAAAGCAGTTACTGCTTGGGGTTATGTAGATTTTTTTTTTACGTTCTGATAATTGTTATTCATGAGATGGGCCGCCCTCACACTATCTGCACTATTAACGCTACAAAATTAATCACAATGAATCGATTACATCTGAGACTTTTAATGCTTTAGAGACTTTAAGAGGCTGAACTCCATCGTTACTTGAAGAAAACTCTTCGTTCATAGGTCACTCACTAAATACAAATTATCTGTATTGCCATGTTACTTCCATACAATTTTCAGTCACGATTGGTTTCTGGTATTTAGTTATCAGCTTGTTAGTTAGACATCCACAAATAAATTATGTGTCAATAATTGCACGCTTCAAAATCTTCAGTTTTATTGGAAGGATTTAAAGAAAATTTTACCCTGAAAAGTTATTGAGCAATCTTTGAGCTGGTGAACTGTACTAAGAGGAGACAGCAGTCTGAAGATAGTTGCTTTTAAATAAATTTGCAATGGGCATCATTAAGAAATCACAGAAGAGATTAATTTCACACATATAGTTCAGTCGGAAAAGGGGGGTATCGTGCACCCTCAGAAATCAATTTCTAATCAACGTGTCTAGGTCAGAAAAAATGCGTAGAAAACGATTTGCTATGTTAAAAAATTCAAAAAATGTCCCACGTATTGTTTTTATGCAAATTAGTGCCGCCATTGCCGAAAAATCTATTTTTAATTATATCTCAGCCAATATTGCTGATAACTGAACGAACTAGGTGTCTAAACCCATGTTTTCAAGGTCAGAGATCACAATAAAACTATTCTGGAAGTCACCACATGTGTCTGTGGCATAGGAATATGCAAATTAGTGCCGCAAATACCGGAAAGTCTTGTTTTTGGCATATCTCGGCCAATATAGCACATAACTACACCAGTAAGGTGTCTAAACCCATGTTTTGAGGGTCCAGTATCATAAGAGGATCATTGACGAAGTAACTATGCGTGTCCTTGGCAGGTAAATATGTAAATTCAAAAGTGTCGATTTATCGGAAATTTGATTTTTAGCCAATATCTCGGCCAATATTGCAGCTAATGTTGACATAAGGGTTTTTGATAAGCAATAATGATCAAAGTTTATTTTAAGCCATCATATTCAAAATAAACTGTACTATTGGCTGAAATTGAATTAAATATTGGCTAAAAATCAATTGTTTGATAAACCGGCAAATTAGAATTTACATATTTTCATGCCAAAGACACACATAGTTACTTCGTAAATGGTCTTCTAATGATACCTGACCCTCAAAACATGGGTTTAGACACCTTACTTGTGTAGTTATGTGCAATATTGGCCGAGATATTGGCTAAAAATCAAATATCTAAATAACCGACACTTAATATTTTACATATTTTCATGCCAAAGACACACAGTTACTTCGTGAATGGTCTTCTAATGATACTTGACCATCAAAACATGGGTTTAGACACCTTACTGGTGTAGTAATGTGCTATATTGGCCAAGTAACCAAAAACATGATGTTCCGGTATTAGCGGCACTAATTTGCATATTCCTATGCTACAGACACATGTGGTGACTTCCAAAATAGTTTTATTGTGATCTCTGACCTTGAAAACATGGGTTTAGACACCTAGTTCGTTCAGTTATCTGCAATATTGGCTGAGATATAATTAAAAATAGATTTTCGGTAATGGCGGCACTAATTTGCATAAAAACAATACGTGGGACATTTTTTGAATTTTTTAACATAGCAAATCGTTTTATACGCTTTTTTTCTGACCTAGACACGTTGATTAGAAATTGATTTCCGAGGGTGCACGATACCCCCCTTTTCCGACTAAACTAATAAGGGACTCATGCATTCCAACTGTTAAGGGTTTTTTGTGCAAGCAATGAGCCTAAATAAGGACACGAAGAAGGTTCTGTTGGAATCGTGTCCATCGTGCACAGCATCGCCTGCAAAGACAGAGAGAGAATGAGAATGGGAAACAGAATTGTAATTCAATTGTTTGTTATTATTCACAAAACACTTGCTACAAACTATGGTTGCTAACATGTGCCGAAGAGCTTTAGTCACCGCTTATCATTTTCAATATACATGTAAGTTCCTTCTGAATTTCAAAACTAAAGGATTTTGTGTTATTGTGAAGACAAACTTAGCAAAAATCCAAATGTCTAAGGCACAATGAACAAGGCAAACCCTTGTTAAGTGCATGATTTTATGTTGGTGAAAAATAACAACTTTGGCAATAGTGCAGCATGTTAAATTACATTTATAACAAAGGATGAAGGGACATTCAAATATAATAAACCTGTTGTTTTTTTCTGGACAGTGTACTTTTATCAGTCGCAATCTGAATCAACACTTTTCCCTGGTTTCTAAAAATGTGCCTACCTCAGAAACACCTGTACCCAGTTTTACAGTTCTGTTCCTGAAGAGATGCAGCATTTTTCACTCATGCTGAACCAGAACAGCTCTGTAAATGAAACAAACAAAACACACTGACAATAAAAAAGTTCCACAGTTACTTAAACAACTATCATATAGTATTCATTCACTCAATAATTAAAATTTAGAAGCAGTGATGGGGACATTATATCTAATAACATCATGTTCTATGGATCTGTGAAGTACAATTTTTAATATTGTGAAACTTCATTTTTGTATATTTTTATTTGCTATTTAATTAGTCTGGATTTCAACCAGGGTGCTGAAATGACACAACCTGTTTTTTTTCTCAAGGACTTACGTTTCACATCAAGGCACGCCAAACAGTCTGATGTTGACACTTCTGAAACTGCAGATGTCAAGCTTACATATCTATATAGTGTTGGATAAAAAGATGTGGAAATATTTTTATATTGACATGAACTTATCATGCCGTTATCCAATAGGGCTAATGCATTAATTGTGGACATTTCCTTTTGCAGGTTGTTGCATCCTATTTCAGCTCTAAGCTAAAAATCCGAAATAATGGTTGACATAATTGTTCAACTCGTTTCTGCCTGATTATTTCAAGAAATGTTTTTTTTTTTCACTCGACGATTCTGTAAGTTACACTAATAGTTTAAACAATTAAAAAGGTTAACTTTACTACCAAATCCATTTATGTCTTGAGCATGTTTATGAAGGGCCTAGGCCACGTTGTACTTGTTTCCCCCTAACTAAGCTGAGTTCTAATCTTGCCCTGGCCCAGGCTAGGCCTGTCAGCATCAGTACTTTACACTAGCATTTTTACTTCTTCAAAAGCACTTTATAACCATAACTACGGTATTTCTGGCGCAAGATGATCAAGGGGTGGACTATTTTCCCCACATAAGTAAAGTAGGCTTAACCATGGACAACGGAATGTTGTGTAAACATGACCCATTCTATCATGTCAGCATGCAATTAATCACTATTCATATGCGGAATTTGTGTATTTCCGACATGCGTATTTTTCGTTCATCTGGTCTGGGAAAGAACGGTGAAATGACCAAATTTTGCACAGAATGATAATAACCACGTATCACAATGTGTTTAAAAAGTCCAATAAAACCATAAATATAATTTATCTCAAACAATATAGCTCGTCTAAACGGTCAAAACTTACCGACTTACCAGGACAGCCCGTCGCATGATGATGAGCCGTGAGAACGAAATAGTTTTGTATACGTGACGACGTGACAACAACAACGCAGCCCTGAGATAAAGGTTATTCGCCACTTCGTGGAAACGCAATGTGTGCGCGTCGCGTTTTCACAAAGTGGCGAATCAGGGATTCGCCGCTTCGTGAAAACGCAAATTCCAGAGGGCAACGGATTCGCCACTTATGTAATTAGCGTAACTAATTAATTAAACACTGTCCGGTCTTAAAACTTTGCAGAAATGTTTAGGACACGAAGTTAAGTCAAAATAGCGCAAAGACCGAAATTGCAAAAAAAATCTGATTTTCGATGGATTCGCCACTTCGTGAAAACACCAACGGTATATATAGGCAAACGGGGCATCTCCGGTTCACAATGGATCAGGAACAAGAAGACCGCATCTCAGTCCTGGACGTTGAGGTTGTACCACTTGGTACTTGTTTTTTAAAACCACATCAGAATGCAATGAAGGTGACACAGACAACATGTTTTTAAAACTCATGTATTATGACCTGCCAATCAGAATCAAGATTTGAAGCTCATGCCTCCAACATTACAATCGTTCCTCTGGGCCTGATGACTGGTGTATCTTAAATTTCTAAAGTTTCAATCTGATTTTTATTTCGAAAGTATAATGGTATCATTCTATGCATTAGTGAAGTGTGGACCAATTCCTTTTGCAAAAATACTTTAAAAAAGGAATAATTTTCGTCTTTTTTTGACTGGTTAACTGCCCTAGTGAATAAATTGCATTGCTTGTTTGTCATCCGAACCCATGATGCAATGTGCACATCGAAAGGTTTATCCATTTATCATTACTAATCAATATTATATTTATATTAGTGATATTACACCAAATTTATGAATATTCAAAAGTACCAAAAAATGTCTGATACATTTCCATTAGCAATAATGTATTTTAGGTGTTTTTTTTTTATAAAATCAACTACATACAGTGGAGCACCACTATACCGAACACCGCTATACCGAACGTTCGGCCATACCAAACATCATCCTTGGCTCCCGGTTTTAATGCACAAAATGTACCAAACATTGTTGTTGAAAAAAGTCAGCAGATCAACAAAAAATCTACTTGTTGTATTAAACACTATGTGGACCACTTTTAATTCCGAACATTTAAACCACCCGTTGCTAAAGTTTCGTGACGACGACGACTGCGGGGTACCGGCGCTTCAAAACTGCTATAGGCCTACCGAACGATCGTTATTTCGATCCCGCGATGTTCGTTGTTAAGGCGTTACACTGTATTGGTTTCAAACATACCTTAGTTTACATTATACGGTCCAAGCCCAAATATTATGCTAATTGCCACTAACAAGCGTTTTTGCCAGTTAGGCCGTGTCCGAAACGGGCTTCCAGAGCTACGGCTATTGTCAGCGCGTCCCCGCGCATTTTCAACGGGCACAGACCTAGACCTAACTCTAGAAAGCCAATTCGGATGCAGCCTTATCAGCCCGTTTATCAAGCCCTAACCTTTTTGCATTCATATTAACAATAGTTGATCTTGATGGCAACTTTGACGGAACCTTTTCCACAAATTCTAAACACTCCTTGATGACTGGCCCAGTATGGTTATAGCCAACATGGTGCTCTAATAGTTTGTGCACAAGACATGTGAATTCTGTGGTAAAGTGGGCTCCGATATAAGTGATGACAGTCTTGCTTTTTCGTCTTTTTATGTGGTCTTCAAGAGTCTTGATTGTGTCTGATGCCTCACGTTGTTCCTGTTTCATGTTTTTTATGGTGTCAAAAGCCATTTGTAATTCCGTATCATGAACGTCACAACTGTCAGCAGCAGCCTCAAGTTTTGTCTCTACTTTATCTACCTTCTTCTTGTAGTAATCTCTGTTACCTCTTGTTCATTTCAGTTCTTTAATTTTCACAGTAATCAGAGACGTGAGATGAGCAATTTTCCTCTGGGCAACATCCAGTTCATAGTCCTTTTCTACCAATGACTTTTGTGCGGCCCCAAGTTCACGGTCTTTTTCTTCCAATGATGTATGGAGAACAGAGGCAACTGTTTCAGCAGCTTCAGCATGCATGATATCATCAACACATTTACGCTTTTTTGATTGCATGCTTTTCCTAGGAAATCAATAGGGAGAAGATCTTAGGTTTTCAAGTTCATCAGGATTGCGACGCTTATTCTTATTTGCCTTCTGATAGTCACTATGCACTTTCCTGACAGTTCCCTTGTATGCTCCCAGGCTTGCACACGATTCAGACCCATATTTGTCAATATAAGTTGATCGTAACCACAGTTCACATGCATCTTTGTCGTGTTCCTTTATGTAATCTAGCACTTGGCCTTTAGATATCTGTAGCTCAAGGGAGTCAACTGCAGAAGTGCTTGTGTTTTGCGCAAGCGGTTGTGCAAGTGGTTGTGCAAGCGCTGATTGGGCAGGCAGTGGTTGAGCAAGGGGCAGTTGGGTAAGTGGCTGAGCAAGAGGTGCTTCAGCAGAAGATGAAGGCTCAATGTTGGCAGAACTAGCAGACTCCATATTTCTTTAAAGTTCCTAATAAAAAAACAAAAAAAACAAAAACAATTGTAATGCTTGAATTTAAAAACATCAAATATGTTTCAATTTTTTCCTTTTTCCCCCAGTCCCATGAATGTTCCGTCAATCCAGGCGTCAAGCCAAGGGAACGATCAAATGCTACATGTACTTCCAGAATAGTCCGAGTAACTTGGACCCTACTTATCGCTTATTTAACACATACTAGGACATGATCTGGTGATGTCCCAATGCTGAAAAGGCAATTACCGGTAGTAGGGTCCAAGTTAGTCGAACTACATGTACTTCCAGAACTAGTTTGTTTTGCAAATGCTTTACCATCATTTCCATTTATACCCAATTTCCATTTCGCCTGATGCCAGTACACCCCGAACCACTTCGCCCCGTTGCCACTTTGCTGAATTCTCATTTTGCTTTAATTTCTGCTCAAGAAAAACAATGTTGGACTGTTCAAATCTTGTTTAAATACAAATGTTTTCTGAAGGTGCTGTGCAAACACGTCTTAAATATTTGTTAATTATAAAGTTGGAAACCCCTGCTCTTAAAAAATTGGAATTTTTTATTTTGTTTTAACGAAACTTTGTTCCGATAATGGGCGTCTGCAATTGCAATCTTTTGGAAAAGGGCATTAATTTTGCGAGAGCTGATTTTATATCTGGAAGCTAATATTTTGACTTTTGTGTAAATGAATTCAATCAATAAATATAGGTAGATTTTTTTCTGTCTATATTTCGTTCACAAGTGAACACGCAAATTACACTAAGCCATTTTAATTCGCGTACGTACGTTACAACTTGCGCAAAGGCGATCGCAATTTGAGAACCTTGCGGCCGGGATTTTCATTGATGAAGAAAAGCAATGTTCAAAACACAAGAACATGCAGAAATAAATTAACAATAATGGCATAAATCAATGAACAAACAAATACATAAAAAGGGGGATTCAATTAGCGTCAATGAAAAGAAACATTGAGATTTAGCAGTGCTTATCAGAGAAGTTTTTTAGTGGCGGGGGCAGGGAGGGGACTGGGCAAGCAATCAATAAGCACACTAGCGGCGATTGCTTGGAAAGTGTACTGAAGTTGTTCAATAATGGAGACCAGATTCAAGTTTTTTGCCTTGTTAAACTAATTAGCATTTTATTTATATTCTTAGATGTAAATAAATCATAATTTCCTGGGGGTATCCCGTTGTTAACGTCAAAAGAATGATTATGATCCCTTCAATTGTTCCATTTTTGACGTTATAGTAATCATTTAAATTATATTTTAAATGCTTTAAATTTTATTACATGTACTGTACAATTAAAAAAGTACTTATTTTAAGAAAAAAAGGTCTTTTAATTAATCTAAAAATTAATTAATTGGACGGTACAATAATTCATTTTGTATTTAAAAATACTTTGCATAACATTTCGAGCGCTGTGTACACTTCAAAAATGCATCTGCATGAGTTTACCAGGGAAAAAAATAGTTCAGCGGCATTGCATGCATGGGGAAACTCTATGTAGCGCGCAAGTTTAAACTTGCGTGCGCAAATCGTAGCCAGGAAATGAATGCAAGCGCAAGTTTAAACTTGCGCGGGGGGACTCAAATTGCGCTCGCCAGGGCTAACAACATTACAAAAAAAGAAAAGTTTCAATTTCGTTCGTAATTCCTAACTAGCTCTCGTCCTGTCACGAACATTTCAGCTCTGGTATTACCTCAACATTCCTGAAATGTCAAACAAATTGGTGACATTTATGAAAACTTTTGCTCACCGAGATCACAGGATATCCAAATTTCCTGAAGAGTTTTTCTGTCTCTGTCTCGACTCTCGACTAGATAAGACTCTCATGTACGAGCGACCTCGAGCACGCGTCGCGCGCGCGTGCCCGCGTAATAAACTTTATACATTATACTGCGCTGCCAGTCTGCGCATGCGCGTCAGGCCCTACTCTCCGGGCGGACAGCGCCACATAATAGCTACATCACACCCTTCTATTTCAGAAAGAATTCGTCCTGCATTTAGTTGAAAGAAACAAAACAACGAGTAAACAAGCTTTAGGTCTCCACAGGCATCACTCTCCCAGGACATATTCAGTGGTGGTATTCAATGACAAGGCTGCCTTCGTTGAAGATCTCTATCTTGCGCCGATGGACTTTTCGGGAATCAGCCGGCCCTTAAGACGGTCTCCGTTGTGACCTGGCGTAATGGTGATACCCGTGTCACGTGGCTTGACTTACTTGGTGACGCAACTCCGAAGTGCATCTCGTCGGCTGTCGGATGCAGGTCCACCGTCGGAGGCGTTTTCTGGATCTCTCGGGTTTTGGGCACTTCGTTGGTCACATCAGCTCGTTCTGGGGTTCGGAGGTCTAATTGTTTGTTGTGGGTCGTTTCTTCCTGTATTTGTGTCGCATGGTGCGTCTTCAAGTGACTTCCTAAGTCACTCCGTCGGTAATAGCTACTCCCATGGCAGAACGGACACTCGTATCTGGTTTTTATGCCATGTTGCTCCGAAACGTGACGGTTGAGGGCTGAATATGATCTGAAGGTCTGACGGCATTCTGTGCACTGGAGGGATGATGTTGGACTTGGGGACCACCTCTTTGACCAGTCTCTGGGGGACCTGTGGCGCGAGTGGTGTCTTTTTGGCATCTGCAGGACGATAAGACCAAAAAGAATGGGAAAATCAGTTATTTGTTTATGGTTGATGGACTCGTAGAATATTATGGTTGACCCACTCTCCATAACG